TATCTCTTCCATCCCCCATGTCCAGAAGATGGCGAGATGACATCACTGTCACCGTAGTATTTTTCGGGAAGGATTAAATCCTAAAGATAATAAAAGTTGATATTGTAAATACAAAAAAAAATTTGTGATTATTTAAATCTGTTTTATAAAAATTTGTTTCTGGTTTTACTGTTTAAATAAGTTTGATTAAAAACAAAAAATTTATAATTTTCAATATTATTTTATTTATTATTTTTTTTTATCCACATCAGATCAATCAGTAAAAATGTATATAAAGAAAAAAGAAAAAATTTGTTAACTTTTCTTCTGATTAATATAATAGTATGTAATATAAAAAAACAATGATTTGTTCTTATAAATGATTATATAATATTAATGACGTTTCATAAAATATTTTTATTATCAAACTTATTATATTACTTGTAACAATTATTTGTTATGCTTAATAATGAGTGTTATCCATATAACCTTTGTTTTTTATTATTGAATTATAAAAGGTTTAATATTATTTAGAAATTTGATTAAAATGTCATGCTGTACAAGTAACACTATTAATAAAGTCAATTGATTTTACAATAATGCTTTTAAAAGTACTGTAATAAATTGTTAACAAATTAGATAAACGATCTGATCTGCATAATAAAAAAGTTTCCTGAATCTTGAAACATTTTTTACATAGAACTGCCAACAAAAAAAATCAGATTCTAATGTAATTACATTATATTTATTAAAACAATATAGTAGTTCAAATTTCTATTACATTTCAAAGTTATGACTTTTAATTCTTCCTATCCCAAAATTCTCTCTCAAAAAAAAAAGAATAACCTTATATTTAAAATAATCAAGCAGATTGCTAAATAAACAGCAGGAAAGCAGTAATCCAATCCTTTTTTTTTTTGTGGTTTATTTCTCTGGAATTTAAAACCGTCTAACCATCGTCCATTTTGGTTGCAATAAAAGATTTAACTCCATTAAACGTAATTGCTATAAATAATCACTCCGATCCACAGAATATTAAAAACTTCACATTCACCAACGAGAGCGGTTATTTACAGCAGAATTATAACCGCGCCCACTACTGCTGCCATATCTTGAACGTCCTAAGAAAAGAAATCCAAAGGGTTATTTTTAAAATCCCAACGGACAATTAATTAAATTGTTTATATAGGTTCGTAAAAATTACCATTACTAGTGCTAGCGACAGCGAGTTTCACAAGCTCAAGAAGCTTAGGGTCGACTTCCTGATTAGCTTCTCGTAATATATTTACCAAATCTTTAGCTTGTTTAGC